AGTCAAAGATCATTATTCATATGAAGAAAACTAAGTGCGACCACTCTTTTTCTTTTTTTCTTTTTCTTTTTGTTTTTTTTGTTTTTCGTTTTTTTTTATTTTGTAGGTATGTTCTTTCTGTTTGTGTGTCAATCCCGGTTAAGGAATCTCGCTCAATCCTTACCCATTTATTCTATATTTTCTATTTTTTTTTTTTGTTTTTTGTTTTTCTAAACGCATTTTTTTGTTTCGCATCATGATTGCCAGATATTAAATTGATTTCTCTTATATATTGAAGACCATATGTGCTAGCCTCTTCCAACACCTTTTTGTTTTTTTTTTTTGGTTTTTTTTCGTTTCGAGTTTTGTGATATGAGAGTGGTCAGCTCGTTTTTTTTTTCGATATTCTCTTTATCTTATTTCCCTGCTCTGTTTTTCTTTTGTGCTCGTTTTTTTTTTCTTATGCTCTTGCTCTTGCTTGCGCGATTCATTTAAATACATATTAACACTTCACTCAAGGTGACAATTAAATTAAATAATTCTTTGTTTCTTTTTGTTTTTTTTTTATTAAAATTCATTCAAAGAAAAAAGGTTTTCAATATCCTGATCAATAATATTTTAAAATAGAAAAGAATATATTTATGTGATAAAATGAAATAATGATAAATGAATTTGATGATTTTTTGATAAGATAAATAATAGATAAAAAAAGATGATTATCATCTACAATTGAATATATTAAAAAATATTTATTTTTATATAAAAATAGTTAACGAATAAAACAATTCTCTTACATATTTATAGAATTTGATTAAACGATAAATAAAATGAAAAAATCTTTATTATATTATTTGTTTAAAATCAAAATTAATAAATTTTTTCAAAAATCCTCTAAAGATTATTTTATGTTACAAATATTCAAAGTAAAAAAAAAACAAAAGAATAAATTATCATCGATAAAAATAAATAGTTATTCATTAAAATATTTCCTCACTTTAGTCTTTATATCAATTAATATTATAATTCTCTTATTGACAATTAACGTAAATCAAGATGATCATTTTCAATAGTGACACCTAATGATATTAAATCATGTTTAGTATATTGAATAATGTGTCTCATTATTAACGAAAATGACTTGATATAGAAAACAAAACTGAAATAGAACGATATTATATCAATGAAAATAATGTCTAGATGATGTTTTCAACGTACATATACAACGAATAAATCTTAAATAGGTTTTTTTATTTTTATTCAAAATTACTCGAATGGAAATCATTTCTTATATATCAGTATTAACCGGTGAGTCGAAACTTATGGATTATGGAACTCGAATTATGTACTCTTTCTAAATATGAGTTTAAAAATATTATATCCATTTTTGTTCAAGAGTAGTGAAAAAATCTTTGAAAAACCTTAATAATTACTTTGGACGACGTATAAATAGGTTCTTGCTAACGCATATATGTCCGTTTCCGACAATGCTAAAAGTTATCGGGCACGATAATTTTATATAGCGGGCACTTCTTTACAAAATCTGATATTGATTTACGTTGGAGTTTTTACATAAGTGAAGTTTTATGTATTTTGTCAGAAGCTCCTCTTTTGTGAAAAACGGCTTTTGGTGAAAAAGTCGATTTCTGAAAAATTTAAGTCATATATCTAGTTTTTCAATAAACTTATATTCACAAAATAAAAATTGAGTGTACGAAATGACACTTCGTTTATATTTTACTGGGAAAATAAAACAAAGATAAATATATATTAATTAAAGATAAAAGATCATTCCTGAAAATATATCTATCAACAAATATATCAATATATATGACAAACAATAATCAATTATTTATTTTTTACTCAAACATATTCTCATTGTTTAAATATAGTTGTAAGTATCTTCAAATAAAACAAATATCATAATGAAATTGTTAATCATTGACTGAAATAAAACTAGAATAAAACTTGTTATAATATCATAGCTCATTGACAAAGCATTATCAAATTAAAAATATTTATTCGAGATTAACTAGTTAAATAAACAGTTTTACAATAATAATTTATCTTATTTAAATTACCAAGCAAAAACAAAAACATAAATATAAAGAAATATTTTAAATAATTATTTAATTTTAGTATATTTTGTTAAAAAAATTTCTCAATATTGAAAGTATAGATTTATCGAAAATTTCTTCAAATGAACAAACAACAAATATAAGAAAAACAATTGAATGTATTTCGTTAATAATTATCATAATTAATACTATTTATTTAAGTAATGAGAGAATGATATTATTTTATATGAAATCTAATAATAAACACATCATTATATAGTTGACTATAATATATATTTATTGTTACATTTATATAACAGAAATGATAATCGAAACAAGAAGATGAATAAAAAACTGTGAAATAAATAAATATAATAAACAAGAAATTAATTTATAATTATTGTTATGAAATGAAAATATTCTAAATAAAATTTGATAATATTAATAATAGATTATTTCAATGATTGTTATCGAAGAAAAAATATTAGCAAAATTGATTTTAAAGATATTTGTCATTAACTTAAATAGAATTATTCTCAATGTATCATTATTTGATAATTTATTGATAAAATATTGTTGCATTTGAGAACAGATTAAATTCAATCATTTTTATTATCGAACCGAATCGATTAAAAAATAAAGAAAAAAAATGTTTATTAGTTTCAAATCTTTTTTCAGAATATTCACTTACAATAATTTATTGAAGACATGCTTATAACGCTTTCGATTAGTTCGAAGAGTGACATAGAAAAACGAGCTACACACAATGTTAAAAACATAGATATTTTCGTTTTTATATTAGAAATATTTTCCCATCGGAAAAGACTGTAGCGGATTTTTCGTTCGTCGTTCAGTATAAAGGGCACAACTAGTTTCAACTAGTAGGTTATTATTCTTTGAAGGACCTACTGTGAAAATGTCATATAGGGTAGGTTTTGAGAAATAATTTATATATATCATAATTTCAAGGCATTACTCTGTATTTTTCTAGTTTATGATTTCGGAGTGATGGGACACTTGAAAATAATAAACTAATGATGGGAGGAAGCACATCTATTGAAAGAGAAAGTGTTGCTCTTTAAAATATAACGATTTCGTCAAATTTGTAAATTTTATTTCGTCTTTTACAGTTTGAAAAGTAATAATCACTATGACTGGCTAAACTTGAAAGGTCTGAAAATCTCAATAAAACTATCTATTATTAGATCATTTTTTTCTAACTTTATTACCGTCTGCTAAAGATTATTTTGAAGTTCAAAATAAAGCGAGACTTATTTAATGCATTAAAAATTAATACAAATTGATAATCAATTAATATTTACTTATATATATGGGCGTGGGCAACCGACTTGGTACCCCATTTTGATAGTCCTATTGTAAGGATAAAACATACTATTGTTCGGATCATATAAGAGAGGATCCTAGATAACCCTGGATTGGCCCGAACAATATCATGTTTTATCCGTAGAATAGTAGAGAAAAGCTACTAACTCACACGATAAGCTCGCAGCTTTTCTCAACTATCCTACGGATAAAACATGATGTTGTTCGGGCCAATCCAGGGTTATCTAGGATCCTCTCTTATATGACCCGAACAATAGTATGTTTTATCCTTAGAATAGGACTGTATAAAAATGGAGTACCAAGTCGGTTGCCCACGTCCATATATATGAGTGTTTCCTATTAAAATGTTGTCTGTAAAATAATGTACTGAACGATGAACAAAACTATTGCTGGTGACTGAAGATTTATGAAAGAGATGAGTAAACAATAAAAATATGCTAAACTTTCTTCATTCACTTTTAGTGAACAAGTTAACATATATGTTAGAATACATATTTAGATGTAATCGATTCCGGATATTTGGAACCGAACCGAACCGATCCTATCACTGGTAGATTAGAGTTCTGATGTCTATTTGATGGTAAATATTCTAAACAAAGTAAGATATTGTAAATTAATCATTAACTACTCAACAATCTAATTATCTATTCAATATTGTATATATCGATTGAATAATTAGAGAAATATTCAATGATATCTATGGATAGATTTCAATAAGAAAGATTTAATTAAATATTGAGTATAGAATACTGAACTCGATGGAAAACGTTTATTCAAAGAAAAAAACAAATTATTATTAAATTTAATTGTTATGTCTCGTATCAAATGATATGTTTATCTTAAAAAAATTAATTAAATTAAAAACAATATTAAAAATCTTGAAAATAATTAAAATTAATAATTTAAAAAACTAGTATTATTTTATAGTACATTTAATGAAAATATTCTTTGAAAAATTTTAGCTTCAATCGAGTTAAGTTTTGATGATAAATGAAGAACAGAAAACGCGTTCTATAACATAACTGTTTCTTCTCAAGAGAAATTTTGGCGCCGATTGTGTTTATAACCAGTGAATAGAAAAAAAAAAGAAAAATAGTCGTCGGCAACGGTTAGCTATGATCAACGCGTACTATTTCAGTATATTTCTTCTCGTAGAAAGGTTGGGTACATTTTTTTCTGCTCGTTCTTTCTTCATAGTTGCATTTTTTTTCTTCTCGACGATTAGTCCTGTTCGTCTTATGTTTGCATTTTTTTTGTGTATGCGTGGGTATCCATCTTTTTGTTTTTTTTTTTCTCCTTATACATTAGCGCTCGACAACATGAGATCATTGTGTTTGATATGTGTGTTGAAGGAAGTTAGTTTGTCTTTGAAATATATCTTTTTGAAGAATTTTACAAATCGTTGACATTAAATAAATGAAAAAAATAACATTGACATTCGTATTTAAATATTTTTCTTTCGAATTATTTGAAAATATAATCTTATATTTTTGATTTATTCATTTATTATTTAAAAATATAGTTAAGAGCAAAAAAAAAGAAATGATTGTTATCTTATTTCTATTTAAATGTTTTGTTTTGTAGAATAAATAAGCTACACGTATTACAACAAATCTTTTCATCATGGGTGTATTTGACGTTGTTCCATCAGGTAAGATCAATTCTTAATTTAAAAACAAAAAAAAAAAAAAATTTTTTTCTTGTTGAAGGTGTATTAACCGGTGATTCTGTTATGAAATTGTTTTCATATGCAAAAGAACATCACTTTGCTATTCCATCTTTTAATGTAACATCTTCATCGGCTATAAATGCAGTTCTTGAAGCTGCTCGGGATACAAAATCTCCTGTTATAATACAAATTTCACAAGGTGGAGCTCAATTTTATGCTGGTAAAGGTCTTAGTAATGATGGTCAAGCAGCAAGTATATTAGGAGCTGTTGCTGCAGCACATCATGTACGACATGTTGCTAAAACATATGGAGTACCTGTTATTCTTCATAGTGATCATTGTGCCAAAAAATTAGAACCATGGTATGTCAAGTTTAACTTTTTTGTTTTTTTTTTCGACTTCGAACTCTTATTAATATGTTTTAAAGAGAATATTTTTTTTTTGAAAAATTTTCAATTCAGATTAAATTGAAAATTTTCTGAGAAGAATAATTAAATTATTAATGAAATATTCATAACTAAATTTGTTTAACATTTCATATATAATTACAATGAATATAAGACATAGAAATGAATTTAGTTTCATAACTAAATCTATTTGCTTCGTTGATCTTAAACTAAAGTACTCGTTCTAGTTATATAATGATGTACTATAATAATAGGAATTGGTTTTCTTTTTGTAAAACTAAACTAGCATAATTTTTTTGTGAACTACTTGATAAAAATTAAGTATGAGATTATCATAGAAAAAAAAACCGATTTCTATACTATTTATTTTATCTTAATTTAATTAAGATAAAGAATTTATTTAATGAATTGAAAGATTGCCTTTGGATTTATCTTATTAAATATATCTAAAGTAATACTTCTACCATGAATAATTGTAAATATTTGAAAGATTTTTTTCCAATTAAGCCGAAAGACAATGTTCGATATAATAGAGTACGTAAGTGCAAATGTAACTGTCAAGTACACCTAATGAATACTTTC